CCTATCAATTAAGCAAAAAAAATTCACACTTTGCTTTCAGGAATTATTTTTGCCAATTTTTTGAAATTTGCTATGTTACCATAACATAGCTATGAGAGAACACCCAAATTTGACACTCTGATGCGGCCAAACTAGAAAATGCCGCCTATATTCACCTACATCACGTGAATCTCTATGAAAATACCTATCAATTAAGCAAAAAAAATTCACACTTTGCTTTCAGGAATTATTTTTGCCAATTTTTTGAAATTTGCTATGTTACCATAACATAGCTATGAGAGAACACCCAAATTTGACACTCTGATGCGGCCAAACTAGAAAATGCCGCCTATATTCACCTACATCACGTGAATCTCTATGAAAATACCTATCAATTAAGCAAAAAAAATTCACACTTTGCTTTCAGGAATTATTTTTGCCAATTTTTTGAAATTTGCTATGTTACCATAACATAGCTATGAGAGAACACCCAAATTTGACACTCTGATGCGGCCAAACTAGAAAATGCCGCCTATATTCACCTACATCACGTGAATCTCTATGAAAATACCTATCAATTAAGCAAAAAAAATTCACACTTTGCTTTCAGGAATTATTTTTGCCAATTTTTTGAAATTTGCTATGTTACCATAACATAGCTATGAGAGAACACCCAAATTTGACACTCTGATGCGGCCAAACTAGAAAATGCCGCCTATATTCACCTACATCACGTGAATCTCTATGAAAATACCTATCAATTAAGCAAAAAAAATTCACACTTTGCTTTCAGGAATTATTTTTGCCAATTTTTTGAAATTTGCTATGTTACCATAACATAGCTATGAGAGAACACCCAAATTTGACACTCTGATGCGGCCAAACTAGAAAATGCCGCCTATATTCACCTACATCACGTGAATCTCTATGAAAATACCTATCAATTAAGCAAAAAAAATTCACACTTTGCTTTCAGGAATTATTTTTGCCAATTTTTTGAAATTTGCTATGTTACCATAACATAGCTATGAGAGAACACCCAAATTTGACACTCTGATGCGGCCAAACTAGAAAATGCCGCCTATATTCACCTACATCACGTGAATCTCTATGAAAATACCTATCAATTAAGCAAAAAAAATTCACACTTTGCTTTCAGGAATTATTTTTGCCAATTTTTTGAAATTTGCTATGTTACCATAACATAGCTATGAGAGAACACCCAAATTTGACACTCTGATGCGGCCAAACTAGAAAATGCCGCCTATATTCACCTACATCACGTGAATCTCTATGAAAATACCTATCAATTAAGCAAAAAAAATTCACACTTTGCTTTCAGGAATTATTTTTGCCAATTTTTTGAAATTTGCTATGTTACCATAACATAGCTATGAGAGAACACCCAAATTTGACACTCTGATGCGGCCAAACTAGAAAATGCCGCCTATATTCACCTACATCACGTGAATCTCTATGAAAATACCTATCAATTAAGCAAAAAAAATTCACACTTTGCTTTCAGGAATTATTTTTGCCAATTTTTTGAAATTTGCTATGTTACCATAACATAGCTATGAGAGAACACCCAAATTTGACACTCTGGTGCGGCCAAACTAGAAAATGCCGCCTATATTCACCTATATCACGTGAATCTATATAAAAACGCCTGTCCAATGAGCAAAAAAATTCAAACTTTTCTTTCGGGAACTGTTTTGAACGATCTTTTGAAATTTGATATGTTAGCGAAAAATGGCAAAATGTGGTATAGTATAATGTATTTTGTACTAGAAATCATTGTACTACAGTACAAAATTTTTGTACTACAGTATAGTGTAGTTTGTACTGAAAATCATTGTACTACAGTATAGTGTATTTTGTACTAGAAATCATTGTATTACTGTACAAAATTTTTGTACTACAGTATAGAGCATTTTGTATTGAAAATCATTGTACTACAGTATAGTGTATTTTGTACTAGAAATCATTGTACTACAGTACAAAATTTTTGTACAACAGTATTGTGTATTTTGTACTGAAAATCATTGTACTAAATTTTTGTGCTACAATATAGAGTATTTTGTACTACAGTACAGTGTATTTTGTACTGAAAACAATTGTACTATAGTACAAAATTTTTGTGCTACAATATAGAGTATTTTGTACTGAAAATAATTGTACTACAGTATAGTGTATATTGTACTGAAAATCATTGTACTATAGTACAAAATTTTTGTACTACAGTATAGTGTATTTTGTACTGAAAATCATTGTACTACAGTATAGTGTATTTTGTACTAGAAATCATTGTACTATAGTACAAAATTTTTGTACTACAGTATAGTGTATTTTGTACTGAAAATCATCGTACTACAGTATAGTGTATTTTGTACTAGAAATCATTGTACTACAGTATAGTGTATTTTGTACAGAAAATCAATACAGTGTAGTGTATTTTGTACTAGAAAACATTGTATAGTGAACTTTTGTACTACAGTATACTGCATTTTTTACTAGAATATATTGTACTATAGTATTGCGTATTTTATACTACTAGGGGTATTTCGTACTAGAATAGATTGTACTACAGTATAGCTTTTTTTGTCCTAGAATATAGTGCATTTTGCTAGTACTATACTTTACTATACTCACAACCATTTTTCGCTACCATATCAAATTTCAAAAGATCGTTCAAAACAGTTCCCGAAAGAAAAGTGTGAATTTTTTTGCCCATGCAATAGGTACTTTTATATAGATTCACATGATATAGGTGAATATAGGCGACATTTTCTAGTTTAGCCGCATCAGAGTGTCAAATTTGAGTGTTTTTTCATATGCAGTTTTCGCTAACATACCAAATTTCAAATACCGTTAAAAATAGTTTCCATAAGCAGAATTTGAATTCGTTTAGTTTGCTTGAAAGGTAGTTTTATATTGATTCATGAAATGCCCACAAAAATATTTTCTTTTTTTTAATATGGATGGATTAGGCTTTCAAACCAACTATATCTCAATTGTAATTATTTAACATGAGATCTGTTAAGTCGTTAACAGAGGTATGTTAACAGAAATGGTAGGTGTCTTTACTAGTTAAATTCGAATTTATCTTCACACCCTTCATAACGTATATAAATTTTTGGAGAGTTTCAAATTCGGAATATACCTAAGCATATCCGTCCATCTGTCCCTCTACGCAATTGTGTATTATCTGTGGTAAACATTTTCCAGTTCGGAAAAATGATGACATTGTCTACGAATTTGCAAAAGAGTTTGAAAATGATCCGAACTGGTCACAGGATACGCCTACAACGCCAACACGCCTACTCAAAAAAAAAAACTGTGAACTTTGCTTTGCGTTATGTTTGCTCGCTACTACGAAAGTACAACACACAAACCATCTGAATTTCCGCTTTCATCCCGATAACAGCAAAAATCGCCGCGCCCACCCAATATCATAGGGTATGAAAATTTAATTCTTTTCAAACATAATCTTCTTAGCTCTTTCTTCTTGTTCTTTTGATCAAATTATACACAATTTGTCTAAAATAATTTCATTGTTGTCGTCGAATACTGGTTTTGTAATTTAGGAAAATGCTTTTTGTTTTTCTTTATTCTGTTTACATTCTTTGCATAAGTCTAAAGAATTCTAAGCCAACAAATTAAGTCAAGTTTTGTCTCCTCTCTCTCGTGCCTCTGTTAGTGAAAACTTTAAGCAAAATTTTATGCATATGTTTTTTTTTTTCGTTCATTTTTCTTACAAAACAAATGCGATCTGATCTGATTGACCACAAGAACAATTCGTGATATGTAAAACACGACAACAAGAAAACACACAAAGATTTTGAATAAAGTTCCAAGAATAATCTATGACTTTTAGCATAAATCGCGTTTAACTTCAATGTTATTACAAAAGCTCACTGAAAGTTCAAGGCCACGCATCGACGAACGATATAATAAATAAAAGATTCCATGTGGGAAGCAACTACGCAAATATTTTGCTTAAGTTGCACGCTCTGCACATCAAGTGCATTATTTTATTGATTTCGAGACTCGAATATATCGATGTATCTTGATAATGTAGCAAAATTGTTTACTTTCGTGTACATATTTTGTTTTCTTTTTTTTTTTTTTTTTTTGATTAAAATTATTTACTTTCAATAATATTCAAGTAATTGTGAATTTTCAAATATTAATTTACGTTTGGCCAAGTGTGTACTGTGTACTGTTGACGTGTTTTTATTATTAGCGGCGCCCACAAGTAAATAAACAAGTGACTGGATAGTGTTTTCAAAATCGATCTGTGGCGAATATGTTTTTTTGCAATTGTATGCGCACGTTGGCACACGCCCTCCAATGAACATGTTTACAATTTACAAATTGTACATACGCACCTATATGTATATACATATATAATAGTGTGTATATATACAGGAAGACAAATAGATAGATGGATAGATAGATTGACTGATTCGATAATGCTTACTTTCGAAACAACTTGCGTGTTTCATATTCGAGTAGTTAGACGATAGTGCTTAGATACACACACATATGTTCTTTATAAAAACGATGCACAAATGTTCCAAATTGTTAATCAATAATTTTTCTATGAGAAGCGAAAAGAAAAATGTGTTTCAAAGATAAGAAATTATTTATTATTCCAGAGAAAATTTAATTTATGGCCGCAAAAAGAGAATGTTATTAATATCTCAGTAAAATTAAAAGGCCTTCAATTTTCTTAAATGTGTGCTACGAACACGTAATCACACATGTACGCAAAACATTTCAATACCACTCACTTCCAGTAAAATTCAAACATGTTCACATTGGCTGGCATATGCCGCTGCATTCATTTCCATTCATGTGTAGCTCTTTAGATGAGCTAAACGCAAAAATACAAAACAAGCACATTTCTATACACACACACACACACACACACACACATACACACAGAAGTAATTATGAATGTTATAAAAGTAGAATTTAAAAAAAAAAGAAACACAAAAAAATATTTCCACACTTACACACGTAGCTGTATATATCAACGTTTTTAGAGCATATCCACTATATCTCAACACACATAAGTAAGTAAGTAATTATGTTTACACGTATATCATCCAGTAAATAGTCGATCTGGACAATGTTAATAATAATGTAACGCGCAGTAAAAATGCTGTTACTTAAAACGTTTCAAAAATGCGTCTCCTTCTCCTTCTCCTTCTTCGCTTTCTTTGCGTGCGATGGCGCAATCAATGGATGATGGCTAAGGGGGCTCGTTAAATGCGTATAAATTTGTATTTACATTGCATGTAACGCGATTATATCGTTATTTAATTTAAAAAAGTTATTTACTTCTTTTTTTTCTCTCTCTCTCCCTCTCTCTCTCTCTATCTTTCTCTCTCTTTCTCTCTCCCTCTCTCCGTATTTAAAAAAAAATTGATTGGAAGGAATACTTTTCGTTATGTCAAACGCGTAAAACTATTTAAAAAAAGCAAAATTATGAATCGCTGAATACGATTTCCACAACTATAGAGGTCTAGACTAAAAAGCACACTAAATTATTTGCTTGCACAAGTTAAGCGGAGCCCCCTAGAAAAAAATGCACATACACATACATACATAAATAGTCATATATGTTTTAAAACTTGTTGTTTATTTCAAAGCGAACACGTTTAGTTGAAAGGCAAGTAAACTCTATTGCCAGAGACAACATATATTCAGAACTCATTACTTATATTATAAATAAAAAGACGGATATTTTGTGTGTGTGTGTGTGTGTGTGTGTGTGTGTGTGTGTGTGTATGACCAGAGAATGCGAACAACAATCCTCTCCAGTAAATGGACATATATATGAGCATACACTTGTATAGATTTGTTACTGTTTTTTCTAGTTTACACATTCCTTCACACCTCACTTTTTATACGAAAAAACAGCAGTTATACCCAACATTTCAAATGTACATAACGCGTAATGCGAGTGCCATTCTCGTAACTCAATAAGCCGTTGGACTCATTCATATACATGTACATATCCATAATCTATTTGCATAAATGAGCTTTTCTCGATCGTCTGAGCGTACATCGAAGCCTCGATTTAAGCGTTAAGTTTCGTTTTAAGTTAATCGTTTTCAAAATTTCTTCATGTTCGACTAATGGCTTATAATTATTCTATAGAAATATTTTCATAAAAGTATTTAACATAAAACTAGAAAATACACTCTCGACTAGTGGAAAATGGAAATTCGGAGCCAAACCAGATGCAATATAATCGCAATTGTCATGAAATGGAATCGTTTGATTTCTAATACACACAATTACACTTCGGAAGTTCCGTTATGTGTATATGTATATATATATATACATGGGTAATCTTACTGAATCCATATCTTTATCTCCCTATCTGCCTATAACCTTGATTGATGCAAGCCTCAGCAAATTGACGTATATTAAAGACTGGCAAACGTCTATACATCGGATTGAAAGTGGCTTCCGATAGACGAGGCACAAAGCACCGCACACCCAGGCACCTACAAGTAAAAATACGAAACTGTGGCACACTCCACCATTAAATATCCTGCGCCACCCTACAATCATCCATGTATCTATCCATTTTCCTAAACAAGGCTTTATATGGAAAGTGGCCAAAAAGGTGATCCGATCCAAACTATTTTCAACAGCGTTTGTCATTGAACTAAAACACATCTGTGAACCCAACATCTTTTAAAATTACTGTCCGTACAGACGGAGGGACAAGCTTATTTCGGAATAGTTTTCCGCATCGGTCAGTTTAGTAAAAAATGGGTCTATCTCAAGTCCTTCTGAATGTTGCATACACACTTAATATGCCTTTCTACTACAAGTGGTATAGAGTATAAAAAAATTGATAAATATTTGATAATGAAATCTATAATTAGAACCATTCTATAATCTCTTCCTCTTTATTATTAGTATCTCTGTTACCCTACGCCAGTTGCGGAAACGATATATTAAGCTCGATCCAGGATCACTCTAAATCTGACTAGCAATTGTAGCTTAAGCACAAACGCTATTAATAGTTGAAACAGGATCGGACCATTTTTACGACCGTTCACCATAAAATGCCGTATTTTCAGAAAGCTTTTATATCAAAAAAAGAAACATTTTTAATATTCCTTCAAAAAAGTCCGCGGAAGATAGTATTTACGCTTGCTATCTGAAGCTGAAAAATTTGAATGCGTTTTGTGTAAAATTTTTCCATAGCGCAAATACGGTCTTTGGTGTATAATTTTAAGCTTACGTTCATGGAGATGAAATGCTACTGAAAAGCTTTAACTTTTCATACTGATTACGTTTATTTTTGAGGATTTATTTTAATTCCATATATTTATTGCTGTTTATTTTCATTCAAAGTGAAGTAACCAGATTTACTCTTTTTGCGGCTCAGCGAAACCGTATTTAAAATGGTTTTGAAATAAATCGGTATTTGAAACATTACTTGTTTGTTCGAGAAATATGTACAAGATCGAAGTGAATGAAAGCCAATTTTTTTACACAAAAAAATTCCATTTGCCTTCGTATAAACTAAACGCTGTAGAACTTTTAATATTTCTGTCTGGAGAGCCACTAAATATATCCGAAGCAAATCTCTACCTTAAACAATTTTTGCAAAATCTTAGATTAAGAGAAACTAAACTTTTAGATTTATAACTGGAATGGGCTAGCGAGGCTAGTAAGCGACGTGGAGCGTTCTACTTTTCACACCGCCTAATAGAATTGTACCTAGGTTCGTTTTTGCCTGACTCTGATTCTGAACAATGGGTGGGGAGGGAAGCACGAAGAAGTTCATTCAATAATAATAAACCCAATTTCTCGCTGGTCATGGAAAGTTTTCAAATTACTCGTTTTAACTTACGAGAAGATAACGCATGCGAACGACGATGCACAGCACACTGTGTTCGTCTGACCGGCTGGAGCAGGTTTGAGTAGCCTGTTGAGTAGCCAGATCTTTGAAAGGCAACCGGCTAGCGGTCATGTTAATGGGCACCGTAAGATGGGAGGCGTGCGCCAGCTGTTTGCAAGACAGGCTTCGATATGAATCCAGTTCTTAGTGAAAATGTGTGAAAATTGATTCAAAGACCGGACAGGAAATCGCGCATAAAGCCAATGTTGATTAGCCTTTGCTGTCCATACTGTCCATACATAATTCGCTTTCTTTCTCTCTCTCTCTCTCTCTCTCTCTCTCTCTCTCTCTCTCTCTCTCTCTCACTCTCTCTCTCTCTCTCTCTTTCTATTCACATTATTGGTCGTAATTTTTGCACTTTTTCAATTTCGTTGTGTATGTATGCATGTACGAGTATCAATTAAATGAAATGAAAAGGAAAGTTCCTACTTCCGTCCCTTGTCTTAAATTGTTGAACTAAATGCTGTTTTAAGTGCAGATATGCCTGCTGTGATGACTTGCATTAATTTAATGAAAATCGAAACGAATAAATGTGAAGAAACCAGAGTAGTAAGTAAGTACTACGTGACTGCCAGATGCGAGTTAAACGCAACATAAATGTGTTTTCTTCTGATAAGAAGTGCAATAAACTGATATATTTATTGTTGTTATAAATAAAAAAAAACAACACTAATCCTATAGAGAGGTTTGTTGGTTATTTTATTTACAGAAACAAATCATCAAAATAGAAAATCTTCCGTTTCGAATCTCATAAAAACGGTGTGTGAATAAAGATAAATTGCCGCCGTAAGACGAGTTAACTTGCAATGCACCTAAAGAAACAGAAAAGAAAGAAAAAACCTTTACCTGAAATTATTTCCACAAAAGTAAACTGTAATGAGTCATCTCGGCCGGATAAAGACACCCTTTAAAAATGCTACTCCTTGTACAGACGTAAAGCCCTTTGAAACATGTTTCTTAAGAACGCATATATTTTCATAGGGCTATGCAGTTAAATGTGCTTGCTATGTGCGACTGCTGAAAAACCACTGACAATAGCACTACTGATCTATTCACAGAAGATGTAAAGACTTTGACTTCATTGCAAGTGATGCTGCCGGACAATTTAAGCAATCAAATTTGTAAGCATTTAAGCTTTGATATCTTAACTACCATTTAGTTTAAGAATTTATGAGATAAAGAAACAAAACTAAGCGAAAATGTAGCTTCCTTCGTACTAATCCATTCCTTATAGCTTTCAATCAATTTAAATTCCAACAAAGTTAGTAACTAATTGACTGTGCATGTAGATTATATAAGTAAAGATCCGTCCATACGTCCCTGTCGGATTTCCTCATAAGCCTTTATCATTATTATATCCGTCATAATACTTTACATTAGAGACTGTTTTTCTCATTTCTGTCAAGTCGTCTCTTTACAATTTATTTTCATATTACGCACATTCTGTGTTTGACGAGTCTACGACTACATCGCTAAAGAGGTCAATACAATTAACTGGTTATACGAAAGGTTTTGTGAAATTCGAAGGCAAACGAGTGAGGCTGAATGTCTATCTAGGATACTAGGAAACTTTTATTAGCGCTATTTACATATTTCACTTCTATATTATTCCCTCTTAGCTTGCGGAAACAAAAAAATGCTCATCACATAGCAAAAATAACGATGAATGGTTCGGCTTATATTGCAATTAATTTTCAGTAGAAATGACTACCATATGATGCCCTGATTAATTTACGTATGCGTTCTCACAGCTTTTTCTGAAAAATAACTATTTTCGCACTCACTAGCAGAACAACTTACTTCGATGTCCAATGGGGAAGGTTCACATAACGCTATTGCATAGAATCGTTTAAATGAATTTGATCGTGGTAATAACTTTGTCATAAATCGGTTGTTATTTTACTAAACCAAAACCCTCATGAGGTTAATGGTAACGCATGGTTAAGCATCTCTAAGCTTCGGTACGAAGTTTATCCCAGCAGAAGTCGCATATAGTATTTCTTAATGGTCGCTAAAAACACGTTTTAAAAATTCTTTAAGTTCCTCGTTCTAGAATCAGGAGTATCAGGCAAAGATAACAAAGTTTGGACTTGGACATATGATCTCGCTAAATGAAAAGCAGTCGAATCAAAGGGATCTTTCCACGCAAAGCGCAAAGTTTGCAATACAAAACGACTGATCGTCTCTCAGTGGGGAAAAATTCAAAGTAGTCTTAAAAAAATGAGCAAAAGGGACTAAACGACGTTTAAAAAAACAGGAAAATGAAACGTGCGATGCCGAGTCATTCACGAACCATTACTCCTGACGGTCTTTTTTTTTTTCCTTTCATTCACAACAATGCATACAAAGCGTTATTTGAAAAAAGCCAAAATGCCATACTAGTTTACAATCCAGGGCAGACCTGGAGATAACAAATCTTTCCATGAGAAAATAATGCCAACGAATGCGTCATAGATTATAAAATTTATTTTCAATTTTCATACATTCGCTCGAACTTCACTTCACCTGCATGAATGAATAAATTTTCATAGTTCTCTTTTTTTATATAGAGCGGAAAAATCTGTTTGCTACGATCTTTACAAAATGATGGTTATCCAGCCGGATAATTTTGTAGTCGAAAACGGTTTACAACAATGTTGCCGCTGTAATAATTCTCTTTTCTCTGGCTCTTTAACGAAAATGATAAGAATTAAACAATAACAATACGTATATGGTATGTATACATAGTTACGCTTAAATCTATATACATATATATACACATACATATATGTGTATATATACTCGAGCCATAATCAGGCTTTTCGTTAGGGGTTCTGCCTAGTGTCTCTCTCATGTATTCATTAGAAAATATGATTAAATGTCTTTACTCAATCCACGATATATATTGTATAATATCGTCCACAGTATGCTAATTGTCATCCTAGTTGGTTGTCAGCAAGAAAAGAAAAAAAAGAAAAAGACGAGATGAAGCTCCATCAGTTGGCCGGTCACACGGCAGCATTCAGTTACGAAAACAACTTGAATAATAAGTAAACATGATAACAATTTTTTTTTTTTTTTTGTTATTGTTGTTGTTGTTTTAAAAGAGGCATAATTACTTTTGAAATCATCCAGCTCGAATATAATTCTTTGTCAATTTAAAAACTGTATAATACGCGCGCGAACATTCAGCATTTCAACACTCGGTCTGTGAGCCTCGATTGAAATACAACATAATCGCCTTCAAAAAAAAAAAAAAAAAAAAAAAAAAAGAAGAAGAAGAAGAAAAAACAATAAAAATTTTTAGTTTTAATTGAACCGACGTGGGTGTACGGTAAAGGAAGATTTACTGCATTTACACACATTTGAATAAGTAATATTATGTTGTGCGTCGCGTTGTACTGTTATTAGATGTTATTACATATTTGTTTTTTGTTTTTTTTTTTTGTATATTTTGCTTATTGTTTTCCTGACTTTGTGATAACTGTAGTTGTTGTTTTTTAATTTACTTGCCCTTTGAAATTATGTCGGAGACAATTGATATATCAAGCGTAAGCATAAACAGGTAAATGGTTTCATATTAAAAAAAAAAAAAAAACGAAAAGACTTAAAAACCTCCTCCTGTGAAATAAAGTCGGATTTATCGGAAAATTAACTGCAGAGAAAACACATAAATTTTTTATATAGCGAGTTCAAGCTGAAATAAAGTGAATGAAAAGGAAATAACACGACTTAATGGACTCATAGATTGTCAAAAAATTGAGGTTTTTCCATAAAATTAAAAACATAGCTGATGTAAACGGTTTTTTTTTTTTTGTTACTAAGTTACTTATCAGTAACCCGTTAGATCC